TTACAGCATTTATTTTATTGATGACCAAACTCAAGAAACTAGAAGAGTAACGCTACCACTATCCTATTACTTCTCTGATGTCTATTTCGTATAGAACATAGCTTTATATTCGAGAGAGGAAAATACGAGAGGATAGAATAAGGACATAGCTATCGTCGGTCATGAAATCAGAATATCTTACTATATATTGACCGATAGCCTGCACGTCATTAAAATAATGTAGATGAAGAAAAGTCGTGCCTCTATTATTGGCACGCGTGCGCGTATTATTGGCACAATCAAACTCTAGAGTAGGGAGAACTCGAGTAAAATTTTGAAGATCGGTATAGAATCAAAGAGTTCGTAGGATCAACTGAGAAACTGAATAAAATTTCTATTATCAAAAAAGGAAGCTGCTGTTCTTCTATGATATTTGTGTTATCCTACACCAACGGAAATCAGGCGAAAAAATCTTATTTAGATGGCTCTAATAACTTTCGATTACTTTGCAACTAGACAGCTCTTGAAAAGTCCAATTTTTTCAGACTTATAAATTCATCTTCTAAATGTTGTATTGCTTTTTAAATGTGCGTATATATGTCACTATCTAAAGACATAATTGCGAAATACACAGCATAGAAGAAGAAAGATATGAAAGAGAAGGAGAAACTGACACCAAAAATATAATCTGTTGACGGACATTTAAAGAGAAAATACATCCATTATCATAAAAAAGAAGGATTTAACAGATTCCTTTGAAAAGGTTTATTTAGAGTTTCTGCTGAATCTGAAAGAAGATGATTTTCTACCACAAAATATAATTCAAGTTCCAAAATCAACATCAATAATGATATTTCACTTGTTATGAGCTGGAAAAAAGGTTACAGGATGACTGGTAGGCATTTCTATGACTCTTTTTCCTGGTAATAATATAAGAAAATCAAAACAAAGTTTATTATATAGATAATAATGAACACGAACTAGAACTATTGAGCAACTTAGTTTAAATGTTCGAATGGGTGCAGCTGTGGGTACGAATGTGGGTCTATACATGAAATCAAGATCTAGAGCCACAGCAGTAGCCACGTCCAAGACTCTCACCTACACTCACCCACTTACACACACATTATGATGATTGAAGTAAAACTTTTTCCAGAATCAGACGACGGAGGCATTTATTGATGAGGCATGGTGAAAAAGAATAAAACTCTCTTGACACTGGTTAATCATATTGTTAGTCACATTTCTCTTGTATGTTATACGAGGCTAGGAGGAATTGCTTTTGTATGACATACTATGAATGTGTTATCTTCATTAGACATATAATGAAACCTTTTGAATGCGAAACATGAAAGAATTTATTACAAAGCTATTAAAAATTCGAAACTTAAATAAGTCTATTCCAAAACCTTGCCTGTTACCAAATCCCGTACAGATTTTATATTAATCCATGAAAACTTATAGAACATAGTAAAGCTCTATGGTATCTCAAAAATCTCATTTGGTACCTATTTTATCAGCTTATTGAACAGGCACTTACCTCTCCACTAGGAGATTGTGTAGATTTTTAGACTAATGATAAAGCAGAGTCATTAATAGGTAAAACAGTCTTTACTTGAAAATATTGATAGAAAAATTCGAAGTATTTATGCAGTTATCATTAGTCTTTAAGTGTTTCATGTGTGCTGTGATAGGAATATTCTTTCGAACGACTATCATAGAGAAATTATGTGTTGAAGATTCTATCATTATATTAATTAAATACTAATGAACCATTTCTGAGAGTTTTTCAATACTGATTCTTCTTCATTTTAGGAACAACGACAGATACTGCTGATACCACTGATACTACAGCTGAACCTCGTAAGTAACAGACTACATAGTTAAATATAGCTTCGTACATGGATTAATTGAAAATATTTTTGAATATGTGAGAATTGTTCAACGCCCTATATATGACACTGAAATAGGCTGATCATTGGAATGTCTTGTGGTGTTAAAAAGTGGAAATCATAAAAAACTTTAAAGTGTATTTAAAGGAATACCATTTGATAAGTTAAATACAACTATAAGCATTTCTATATTGATAGAGGCAGGAATTTGAAATTTTTTTTTTGAAACTGTTTTCATTTAGAGAAGGTCAACAGAGTCAGTTATATATATAGCTGTACGTACGAAAGAGCACGGTGAATGAATAGTCAGCAGATTGAACAGGATAAAATCACAATACGACACATTTTATTTTAGTGTGTAGCTATGTTTTTCTTCGAAAATATACATCAGTTCTACAGAGTAATCCATGTAGTTTCTTGTAAGAAAAAGGAGTTCACGTGGATAAGCCATTTCTTGGAATGATTTTTCAACTCGCAATTCTTGCAGGAGTTCTACAACGTTGGCTATACGAGACAAACAGATGATCGATGAGACGCCAAACGAGATGATGATTTGGCTATCTCACAAGTCTTTGCTGTCATCTCAAGATTTTTAAAAACAAAGACAGGAGATGCGATGATTCAAATCAATCTTTCTAGATTAGATTTGCTTTTTATGTTTGATTCACCTGTATGGGCTTAAAAATGTACTTTTATGGCACACAGAATATTGCAGAGCTTTCGAGATGCAGTACTTTTATTTGTCGTTGGTATAGGCAGCTGAATCAGTAATTTGCAATAAGATTCGATTTTGAGCCAGTGTGATCTCACTTTTTTTCACGAGGTTTCAAACAAAATATTTACTCGGGAAGTTGACTAATTCAATCAATATTGTTATTTTTCAGCTTGTTTTTCGGCCGATCAGCATGTGACTTTGGCGAACGGTCAGGTGATATCGATGCAGAATTTAGCAGCCGGCGATCATGTTTTAACTATGTCCGATGATGGCAAGCGCTTTGTCGCATCTGAAGTGGCATTCTTTATTCATGCTGAAATGAACAGAACTTGTAAGTTACTCGAACTTTTAATGAATAACTTTTCAAAATTTGATATAGAATTTCATTATCACAACAATAAAACGGCGTACAGACAGAGTTAGTTCGGTGATAAACGGTTGTACACAGTATGATACTACTGTTAATAGTCTTGCTTCGTCATCAGTATATACAATTTATTGTGATCGTGCATAGCCGTGCAGACTGCCTGTCATATACCGCATTTCGAGATGGATCCTATTTCACAGTGGTTGTAATTCTCGTCTTGAAAAAAACATTTAGTCAGATATACTTAGGATGAAACTTGTAACTACGTTAAACTCAGGTTCACATCAGTATTGGATGATACAGACAGTTATATCCCACCGTTCTTTCTTGATAACGATTTACTTTCTTCTTTACAATATGAGAAAAGTATTTTTTGAGTTTTTCATCTGCTAGAAATTTTTTTGCTCTTTATTTTACATTATGTTTTTACAGTGTGCATGGACACAGAACATAGAACGATTAATCATAGTCACGTTATTACGTGCATTAATCGTTTACGGCCAACCTTGTTTGATGTGAATATCGATAAGTCTAGAAAACAACATAGTGATATCCTCATTTGGCAATAGAAAGTTTTCAATTGTAACTGACTGGTCGCATCGATGTTCTGCTCATACACAGGACTCAAAGAAATAAGTGGAATCTTAAAAGAATTTCTATGCATGCTGTATCCATCTTGAACTATGATCACTTCAGTGGTGTGGTTGTGAGTGTACTGTCTTCATCTTCACTCACACACTCTACACCCCAAGGTTCAAGATCTTGCTTACAAGATGTTCAACTAGAACATTAAAAAATGTTTTCTTTTACAGAATAGACTTTGAATAAGTAGAATCACCTAAAAATTTTCGACTTGTTTTGCTGAAACTGATCACTCGATAAATTTTATCTATGTATAATTAACAATGAGGAATTTGTCTTTTGCAATTCGAACGGTTTCTCGATTTTTTTAAAACAATTTCTAGCTCTGTTCTACACTGTAACGACAGTCAGCGGCCATCAAATAAGCGTTACACCTGATCATTATATTCGCGTCGAAAACAATGGATATGTAATTGCTTCACAATTAACATTAAACCATTCTCTTTTTGTTACACATTTAAATTATCCAGTTCGTATTCGTTCAATTAAAAAAGAATTCAAAATGGGTCTTTTTAGTCCTGTTACCTTTGCTGGTACAATTCTTGTTAATGATGTATTTGCTTCGTGTTACTGTCTTAACAATCTTCGTGGTACACACTATGAAAAACATCACTTATATGCACCATTTCGTTTATGGTATTACATGGCAAAATACTATTTAGGATTTGGTAGTGAAGTTTATGACATGCCGAGAGATGATATCCATTGGGCCATTGGTATCTATGTTCACTATGGTCACTATGTCGTCTTTATTTATCAATCGTTGCGTGCTCTATTCCTTATGGTTTTAATCGAATTTTTTATTCGCATGAGCGAAATTATTCATCCGATCTTTATTAAACATGCTTATTATTAAAAGACGCGAGACTCAAGGCATATTAATGTGACTTTTGACATTTGTATTACTGACGTTAGCACAACATATGAACTAAATTCATTGTCAGAAGAACTGTATATAAACCTATCCCAAACAATTTGATGTTTCTCAGCATTCTATTCAACAGAATTCTCATACTAACCTAATAATAATATAATAAACTTCATACTAACTTACATTAGTAAATTATTATTAAGAAATGGGATACCAGATCGTATAAAAAAGAGGTGGGAAATTGTCTGTAAGAAACCAAAAAAATCAACTTAATTCAAGTTCTTAACCTTTGAAGGCTAAGAAATTATTTTTTGGAATAACGGGAGAACGCTAATCACAAAAATAGAAATTATGTAACTTCAGTATACTCATAGCGTAGCTAAAAAGGATCATCTACTTAGGTCATTCCAAAAGTAGTGGCGGAGGTATATCAATTCCTTATAGAAAGCTCGACGATATCTTTTTTCTATACAGTCTAATAGAGAAAAGAAAGGTCTATTTTTCTATGCTATTTGATCATACTTTAACTAATGTCATGATAATAAATTTTTGATAAGATTTTTTTCGTTAACATGTTTGCTCGTTGTATTAGCTCACAATGAATCAGACGGGTTAGTTTTGTAGTCCACTAATATATTGTATTAAGAACCAAAATATGCCATAAGATGCAGCTTGAAAAGCTCTACAATTCCCATAAGATCACTTATTTTTTAGTTGCACTTTTTGTTTTCAAAATGGGCAAAGTTTTGAGTGATCGAACTTTGGCCATTTTAAAAACTGATCGCGTAGAATTTTCCTTTTTTTTCAAAACAATTACAGTAAACTTTATGATGTAGATTGTAGAGCTTTTCTTACTGCATCTTCTGGTGTATTTTGTTTTTCTTTTGATAAAGCATATCAGGTGATATAATGATCAGATAACAAGAAATGAATTCGTCGTGTATCAAGAACGTTATCTTTTTTTTCACGATCGAAATTTGATCGCTCAAAATTTAGTCTATTTTAAGAACAAAATGTGCAACTAGAAAATAAGTGGTCTTATGGAAATTGTAGAGCTTTTCACGCTGCATCTTATGGCATATTTTGGTTCTTAATACAACTAATAAGGAATTGAAAACTGCGATGTACAACTTACAACGAGCAAACATGTTAACGAAAAAAATCTTATCAAAAATTTATTATCATGACAGTAGTTAACGTATGATCAAATAGCATAGAAAAATATACCTTTCTTTTCTCTATTAGACTGTATAGAAAAAAGGTATCGTCGAGCTTTCTATAAGGAATTGATATACCTCCGCCACTACTTTTGGAATGACCTAAGTATATTATTAATTATCCCCAAAACCATTTTGATCTCTAAAAGTATGTGTAGTTCTTTTAGATTTATTATTTTTTTATTCGATTCTATCCAAAATTCATTTAAAGTATTATTTGTTTTTTCAATCTATAAAAAAATTCCAAATCTAACGAGAAATTACATCGTCACTATTGACACGATTTGATCGCTTATTGCTGTTGTGATGTCATTTTTATTTCTAGTTTTGTAAAGAAAATTTCATCGAGTTTTTCAGACAAAGACGTATAATTCAAGAAAAATAAAAAATAAAACAGGAAATCTCCACAATTCTGCTACGATACATTTTTATTTTATTGTCCATGAAATCAATGAGTTGATCTATTTACTAATAGTTTTATGTATTTCGGAGACAATGAAATTTTGTTATCATAAAAAATGAATGCCATCAATATGAGAAAATTGAAATATGACATATTGTTATTGCATATGTCATTCTTAAAAGGCGTTAAATGTTTTTTTTTTCATTTAGGTCTATTTCATTTTGATTCTCCTATTATAGTGAATATTTCTCACAGTGCTTATTATCTAAAAGAATAAAGTCGTGGTTTGGAATGATGTCGATGAATTATCTTCTTGTACTTTTCTCGTTTACATGGATGTGAGTACCTATTCTTCGGCATGCTTCGTCTTTTCTTTCCTCTATCATATGTATTTCCTTAACGATAATGAATTATCAATTATACTTTTTTTTTCGCTTTCCTTTATACGATAACAAACAAGTTTAATTAACAAGAAATTATTATAGAATAAGAGAGAGAAAATGACTGAGATTAATTGAATAAATAATTTGATTTTGAGTTTGTTAAGTTGAAAATTTCTGTTCAGGATACTTATGTCTTTAGCTGATATACCTGCTAAAGCTGTACATCGATTACTTGTAATCAATCCACTCGATGAAACGATTCTCACCGACGATGTACTGGTAACAGGTACATATAAATATTTTTGAACAACATTTAGTACCAGATAAAAACACGCGAATTTGTTTGTAATTTCAGCTAACTAAGATGAATGATATGTTCATTTAATATAGTTTTTTTTGCTGATCATTTTGTCGAGAACTGCTAATAGACAACGCGTAGGACGTAGTAAAACAGGTGCATTCATTATTATCGATGTTCCTGATATTCATCTTTGAACAATGGTTTTGTCAATTGACGTGCAATAGTTTAGTTCAATAGAGTAAGCATTTTTGTTGCAATTTTCTTTATTAGAAAATTATTAAATGAAGAAAAAAATCAACAGCGACAATAAACTTTACATATATAAACAACCAAATTTGTGCTGTTTAAAAAAGAAGGACAGATATCTTTATAGTACAAGACAGATAAGTCATTGAAGCTGGAAAAAGAATCAGACATAGAAAGAAGATTATGCATGTGAATAGAAAAAGAGAGACACTGTAAAGGATACGATGAGTGGAAAGAATCGAACTTCTCCATGTTTGAGAGTTAAATAATTACATACCTTTTTCATTTCATTTTAGGGTCTCCAACACAACTGAATCAGGTGTGTATACTGAATTCACGTGGTCTTGCAAACACCATTGTACCAAAAATAGTGCGCCTTCTTCACATTTTCTCTTGCAGTAGTTTCATCACAATGTGATTCGTCCAATCATATGAGTCTATATTAATTTCTGGTTACAAGTTTTTTGCATCCAAAACTATGAGGATCATTTCATTTGGTCTCATTCTTGAAGAGTATGAATTGAATCTATAAGGCATGCACTTTAGACACAGTCACGTTTAAGGTTTATAGGGGCTCACGTTAAGTACAAGAAACGTGAACTTTTTTAATCCGATCTGTACGAGTCGTTCAGGGAGTTCTCTGAGAAAATTTTGGCTTTTGATCCAGAAGAATCAAACTTTGGTAGATAAAAAACCTTTTCTGGTTCAAAGTGACTCCATTTATTAATTATATACCACTAATTCCATATCGAAATTCTGGGAATTACTTCAATACGAAATCCATTCGTTTCTATTTAACCTAGCAGTGTAAAATGATTATCGAGTTCCTAGAATTCTGGTTATCGATCTAATAACTTAGAGCAACTTTGCATTGAGATTGTTTGACTATCACTAATATTAGAATACTAATTTTTGCTTCAATATTTTTATCTTAAGGTCAACTGTACAAGTCGCGTCAAACCACTGACCGTCACAAATCAGTCAATTATCTAGCTATTACTGAAATATATGATCCATCAGTAGACCAATGGACCACTACTGGAAACATGGCAATACCACGCGAATTTCATACTGCAACTCTGCTCAATTCTGGCAAAGTTCTTGTCACTGGTGGCCAAGGACCTACCGGTTATTTGACTGAGTGTGAAATATATGACCCATCAACCGGCCAATGGCATACTGCTGCTAGCATGTCAAAACCGCGAAAATATCATACTGCAACGCTACTCAATTCGGGCCAAGTTCTTGTCACAGGTGGCACCACCACTGAGTCAGATGTTCTTCTGAATAGTTCTGAAATATATGATCCATTAACGGATAAATGGAGTCATACTGCAAGCATGACAGCAGCACGTTCTGAGCATACTGCAATTCTACTGAATTCAAGCAAAGTACTTGTCTTTGGTAATGGAGTTAGTTCTGAAATATATGATCCATTAACGAGCCAGTGGAATCCTGCTTCAAGCATGAAACCACCAGCGCGTTATTATTCTATTGCAGCCCTGTTCAAGTCGGGGAAAGTTCTTGTCACTGGTGGCGTCCTATCAAGCATATATCAGGCTAATTGTGATATATATATGATCCATCGATAAACGAATGGGACACTATTGCAAACATGGCCAGACCACCTGCGGCTCATACTGTAATTTCGCTCAATTCAGGCAAAGTTCTTGTTACTGGTGGCGAAACAAATGGTGATGTATTGGCTAGTTATGAAATATATGATCCATTGACAGGCAAATGGAACAATGTTACTAGCATGACGGATGAACGTTCTCAGCATACTACAACCTTGCTCAAGTCGGGAAAAGTTCTTGCCACTGGTGGCGCCGGATATACCCGTTCTATGGATACCTCAGAGATATACGATCCATCAACAGGCAAATGGAATCCCAGTGCACGCTTATCCATAAAACGTTATGCTCATACTGCAACCCTACTCAATTCAGGCACAGTTCTTGTCACTGGTGGCGTATAAATAGGTAGTTACATAACTATTCTCCATCCAAATAATAATAGCATATGGTTTCTTTTTAAAAACTTAATAACAAAATAATTAGAGAGACAAGTGTGCCGATACTGATATTATCTTTCACTGATCATCCTTCCCTCTTTGCTTCTTATTCTCTATCTCTCTCCCTCTCTCTATTGTTATCTTCTGTGCTTATCTTTCTTTCTCCCTCCTTTATAAGTGTGTGTTGTATTGTGAACTAGTTACAATCTGAAAATGTGAAGTAGTTCAATAAACATCATTAAGCTTGTCGTTGTAACGAGGTTTCTAATGTTGAAAGAGAAGTTTATGGAGCATCTTTTATAAGCGAAAAGATTTTCAAAACATTTTTTGAAACCATTCTTTGAATAGATCTCTAGACAATTTACGTAAAACCGAAAAATTTTAAATACCAAACTATTGATTTTTTAAACCAGTGAATAGAAGAAATCAATCAAAGAAATATCCATGAAAGCGTCTAACATATAATTATTTTAAAACATCAAGTAAAATTTCTTTCACAATGCGTTAGGTTCTATGTATCGATTATTAAAAGTTTATTGACGATGCTTCTTACTGACATAGAAATACATCATCAATCAATAATTTTTTATATTTATACTAAAAAAATGAATTTAAATTTGTAATGAAGACAAAAATTTATTTGTCGCATGTTTATTTTGAGAACAAACGGTATTGTTGAAATTGTTTTACTTGACAATTTTTGACAATTTTATCCATAATTTTCTATATATTCATATATCTAATGAATCGATCTAACGATGAATGATCCCCAACTGACAAATCGCTTTAGACGTGAAAGCTATTGGACTATAGATAATCGATGATCCTGAATCCAAATTTCACCTTGATTTGTGCTGCTGGATGTGGGTGTGAATGAAGAGGAAAATGACACCCACGCCCACACCCCTGCGAGTAGAATTAAATCCAAATAATCAAAATCTAAATTGATTTTAGAATGTTTGACTTAATTAATGTAGAATTAAATTATTTGTCATTTGAAAATGAAATAATTGTTTCTTTCTCATCAAAGTTTGAATATTTTATAATGATATTTGATTTAACAATGATTTGGAAAGGTTGAAATTAGAAAAAGGAAAGAAAAATTGAATCTGAAGACAAAATGATGAAAATATCATCGACCAAATAATGTCTATCTATCATTGCAAAGAAGTTTGTAAATCATACATTAAAAATGTATTCATCAAACGACAACATATGATACAAGATCATATTATGTTTGATAACATTCCTATTTTCACTAAACAATCAATAATCTTATATGCGAAAAACTTCTATGACAAGCAATTCATGTTAGAATCTCAGTAATGGATTACAAAATATTAAGTAGTTTGTATTCGAAATTCGAATTATTAGTCTTTGATGTAAAAAAAAATATGCAAAACAAGCATGAAAATAAAAGGCTTTAGGCACTTTTTTTCGCTATTAAAGTGACTCTTATGTTTTTTATTTATCTAATCTTCTTGTTGTATTGTTCTATAACAAGAAGAAAATCTAATTTAGTCGAATATTTGGGTTTTTTTTATGAATGCATATTAAGCTTCAATTATTTACACTTGATTTTATCAGCATACATTTTACCTAAATTATTCTTCGTTCGTTATTATATTTCAG